CGCCTCGCGCCGTTCCCGCACCAGCCCCTTTGGCCGGGGCCCTTGGGGCTGAGGCTTTTGTGCGGCTCCCTGAGCTATTTGGGAGCCACCGGCTCTCCTTGGCACAAACAATGCCATCGTGGAAGTGTTTTCTCTGTGCAGGGCTGATTTTGGTGTTTTTTGGGTCTTTTTTTTTATTATTCTTTTTTTGGTTCAGCCTGGCAGCTGACCTGTCTGAGACAGCCGCGGAGGAGGGGGAAAAAGCCAAGCTTTTGGAGGACGCTCAACAGCTGTCTTGCGGCGCTAGGTTTCAGATGTATCACATGGGATGCTCGCTAATGAATATCCTGGCAATCGGGGTTTTTTTTCTTTTTTTCTTTTAAAAAAAAAAAAAGAAAAGAACAAAGTGTAAGGTACACTCTCAACATGATGCTACGTTTTGCAAAGAAGAGCAGGAGCTATTAAAACCCGTTTATCCCGCTTAGTTTGTCCGGATCTGCAAAATAAAATACATGCAACGGAGCCGCTGCGTGGATTGTTCTTTTGGCTATAGCAAAAAACAAACCCGTGCTCTTTAGGCAAGGGAATTCCACAGCTTCGGGCCCGGCGGCCTCCCTCAGCTGTGTCTTTAAAAAAACAAAGCTGCCTCACTTGCGCGTTACATTTTATTGATGTTACTGTAAAATACATATTTGCTTGCCTTCCTAATTGGGGAAGCACAGATGGCAGTGGCTTCTGCTAGAATGATACGCTCTTTAAAATATCTGGTAACGTTTCAACAAAGTATAGTCGTTAAAATGACTGTCTGTGCGCCGCCTCTGTGACAGGAGCTTCATCCTCAGGAAGGAGGATTTGCCCTGATTTCAGGGGAGAGGCCTCGCTTTAACCCTTCGCCAGGGTGGCACCCAGCACAGCGGGAGGTGTTTTGGGCGGTTCACCCGAGCACCGTACCGCGGGCCGTTTTTTGCCCAAAGAGAAGGCAAATCCTTCCCTTCTGAAGGGAAGCGCTCGTAAGGGAGGGGGTGACTCCTTTACTGTGCTGCCGTTCAGAGGGACCTGGACAGGCTGGAGAGCTGGGCGGAGAGGAACCTCCTGAAGTTCAACAGAGGCAAGTGCAAGGTCCTGCACCTAGGCAGGAATAATCCCATGCACCAGGACAGGCTGGGGGCTGAGCTGCTGGAAAGTAGCTCTGCCGAGAAGGACCTGGGAGTGCTGGTGGACAACAAGTTGAGCCTGAGCCAGCAGTGTGCCCTTGTGGCCAAGAAGGCCAATGGGATCCTAGGGTGCATTAGGCAGAGTGTTGCCAGCAGGTGGAGGGAGGTGATCCTGCCCCTCT